GGGAAACAATCTCCGAGAAGATTCATGCTGAGTCGATCTGCAGGCACAGTGCTAGGAAGCTGACAGAGCCGAAATGTGGGAGTGAGAGTGTATGCTCCTCTTAAACAAAACAAACAAACAAAAAAAGCTGCAGTTGACACAAGCGCTTCTCAAAACAGTTTATTTTTTTGCTTTAGACTTAGTCACTGTACTATTATGCAGACAGCATCTGACGAAAGAGAAGCCTATGTAACCAACAGGAAGAATAATGGATAAAGTTAAATGTAATTACATACTGTCAAGAAAAATTATCAGGGACAGCTGTGCAAGAGGAGCTGCCTCCAACTGATTTTTTTTTAAGAGTACAGCACACTGGAGTCTCTTCTTTCACTAAATATTGTGGGTTTTGTACAAACAAGGTGTATGAAGAATATGAATATTAAGTAGCATCTAACAGAGGAATTTGAAAACAAGGCATAAAAGAAACCAGCTAGATTCATTTCTTGCTCCTACCTAATTGATAAGTCTCACATTGGAGAGCAGAGAACTTAAAATATGAAATGATTCTTTTTCTATTTCTGTTCACTTCAATAGCATGCTTGTTCCATCACAGCTGCATCCATGTGCCAGATCTCACTCCAAGTTCATTTTGGGGGAGTTGAAAACACTGCATCTTTCTTTCAGTATTTGAGATGCATTCAAACCAACATCTCCTGATGCAAGCTGAACTCAAGATTAACTCCTACTGTTTTACTCAGTTCCTGAAGTTATATAAAAATCATTTTTGAAAAGAGGCATTATCTGTCAATTTCTAGAAGAGTAATTGTGTTTATTGCTCTTAAACTCAAAATGACATTCAGTACTATTTCTAGTATCTAAACCAACAGGAACAAAATGTGGTTTTGCAGGATCAAAAAGGTAAGACTGAACACAGAGAGTTTTACACGCACAAAAAAATGTAGAGAACAGGATACTAGAGTCATCTCTACACATAAAAGAAAGAAAACCAAAACAGTGTTCCATTAGGAATTCCACAAGATACATCTCAAAAAAGTTTCATTATCCACCTCTTCTGGGCTGGCAAGCATCCATGGATGTTGTATAAACATCACAGTAAACGTCTGGGATTGAGTTTACAATTGTTGGAGAAGCAAGAAGGAGAGTTTAAGTGTTGCTCATCTACTAGGAGATTTATCCAGGTTTCTCAGTTTAAGAGCTTGTCAAATTCCCCATTCATTTGATTTTTCAAGTATCTTCAATCTAAGTCTTAATTCCCAGAAAGCACAAAAAAACCCTGTACTACATAACAGCCTATAGGACACCACGTAGACAATAAACATTTATTTCATTTATCTATCATTGCATATTCTGCCAGAAAAATCAGCTGCATTAGTTTAAGTCTCCTATTTTGCTCAAACAGGCTCAAATTTTAGATTAAATGTCCAGTGATTGGCTCATAAAGTCATATTCCTGGCATTTCCTTCTTAGCAGTGTGGGTTTCAGCTGGCAAGAACCTTTCTTACAGGGACTGAAGAATGTCATGTGTCCTTCTGCATAAAGCATCAAAACAAGGGAAGGCACCCAGCAGCATCCGTGGGAATAAATCTGTCCTGCTTATATCATTAACACAAACACCAACCACTCTTCCCATTAAGTGATATTGATGACAAGGCCACTGTAAGCTTGTTTGGTGGCCATTAGTCAATTTTGTTTTTATCAAAATAACAAATTATGCACTTCTGTATATGTGAAGCCACAGTGAGTGGTTTAAAGAAACAAACACAAAGACTGTCAAATAGCTAAGTGCTCTTGTGATATTGTATATACCTTGATGTGAAATCATGGGATACCATGATAAGGCCTTAATGTTTTAATGAATTTAGGATGACTATTTAAAAATACCCAAGTGCTCTTATGCTGGCTACCCCAAATGATCATTTTAGAAATCAAAGTAATAAAGAATCTTGGAACTTCTTTTGGGACACAGAACAGAGAACACTAACCCACATGTAGTTATTAAAACTTTAAGAAAAGGCTGCCACATTGACATCAATTCTTCTGGCACTTCAGTTAATTAAGAAAAGCAGTTTAGTCATTAATCCTTCTTCATAAATATTAGTAACAGTTTAAATATCAGCTTCAGACTTCCACATCTTTTTTTCTTCTCATAAATGACAGCACAACTTGCAAACAAGCTTCTTGCTTTTTCCCCTAGAAATTCCTGTAGATTCTAGATTTCTCTAGAGATTCCTCTAGAATACTTCCCAACTCCAAATTTCAGTAGTCCAAGGAACCAAGCATTACTCCCTGCATTCATATGTCACTGTGTGGGAACCAAGTGCAAAGCACAACAGGGACTAAACCTTCCAGAGGGAAAAAAAAAACCATTTGTGCTCCATTTTGCTGTGTTTTGAGCTGTTGGCCTTTCAGTCAAAACACTCCCGATGACAACTGTGGCAGGCAGTCAATTTGGAAAGGACACAAAACTGCTCTTCTCTTCACCATCGTGACAGGTCGGAGCTTGTCAACTTGACAGGTCATTTGCAAACACAGTTGGAGACCTCAATGAAAATTCTCAGGTACAGGTAATAGCAGCTGTTGCACAGTGAGCTCATGAAGTCAACTGTGTACAGTCCGGCCTGCCTCAGCACAACAGATGAAAACACTTCATGCTTGAAACAAGAACATGCATTTATTGCAAAGAGCAAGTTACACCAAATGTCACACCACAGCTCAAGTCACTTGCTGCCCCTCATATGGACTAATGCCCTCTGCTCACCCAGGGCCTGAGGGAACGGAATGGAGCTGTCAGATCAGCTGGGGGTCAGGGAAAGGCTGTGTCCCAGAGGGCAGTGGGCATGGAACTGCCTGCCGGGGCAGCGGGCACAGCCCTGAGCGCCAGAGCTCAGGGAGCACTGAGACGCTGCTCTCAGACATCAGGTTGGGGTTGGGTGGCTCCGTGTGGACTTAGGAGCTGGACTCGATTCTTGTGGGTCCCTTCCAGCTCAGCATATCCTATGAGTTTGATTTTCTCCAGAAATTATTTAGAAAAAAAATAATAATAACCTTTTTTATTTGTAAGAATCTTGAGCCACTGACCAGCCAGCTAAGGGACTAGAGAGTACTCTCAGTCTTTCCCCTTCCTTAAACTTCTCAGTACTGAGGTTAAAACGTAGCTTGAGTTCAGCATTAGCCCCCAGATACAAGGCAGAAGAAAGAAAGATGGGAAAGGGTACAATGAAATGAAAGGAATACGAGAGAAAAGAAAACGGCTTTCCATCAAAAATGAGATGGGATGAAATTCCTGGAGCTCCATTAGTAAACACCTGTGAAGTCTACTGGAAAAAGTTCACACTTTATCTTCACTTCCAGTGACTGCTCTGTATCACACTTACAGACTATACTTAATTACTTAAAACTGTGCTTTTCAAACTATTTAGGCAATGCATCATTTCCTTAAGATAAAAACAGTTTAGTGAATCAACATAAATGACTGCAGGGATTGTAGAAAATGCAAGCAAAAGGGTTCTGTGTCTCATTACAGCTCATGTACAGATTGCTTCATAGGTTATGATTTATTGTTCAAAACTGAACTTTATGAGCAGTTACAGATAAATACATCTAACTTCTTGCTACAGTAAAAAGCTGTACATGAAGTCAATGAGAAAATACAACCTCAATAACAGGAACACTAAAACAAATCCTAAATTGTCACAGAAAGTGAGACTGGGGGTGTCTTCTGCAAACAGAAAAGGTACCCAATGTTACTGAAGCTATCTGTGCATCAGTGCCCTGTACACAAATCATATGACAACATCAGTTCATTTCAAGGGGTACAAGAAAGAAAAAAGTAATGTTTGCAAACCACTTAGATGCTGCAAATTTAGTATAAGCAGAAGAACTCAGCAAAGAACCTAATTCTGCATTCAGACTTGAATTTGCATTAGACCACATGCTGAACATGTAACACAGCAGAGTGACAAGCGGCTCATTGAGAAGACTTGTCCAGTAGAGGAGAACAAAAGGGAGGGCAAGGGAAAAGGAGGAGAATCTGATCATGTTATAACAGACATCTAAAAATGCTGTCAGACTATGGAGCCACATAAAGATTTTTCCATACATCTTCATTCTGTTTTTGCTTTTTTAAAAATTCACTATTGAGTGCATGATGAGCCTGTCACAATTTTCAGCTACTATTAAGTGTTACAGACAAGCAATACAGCATGTAACTGTGCTCCAGGAAAGCAGTAAGGAACACATACAACACTTTATAAAATCTATTCATGTTTCAGCATCACCAAATTCATAACTTAACTGTCTTTTCATTTAGATAACAGGCTATAAGAGTTCCATATGGTAGAACAGAATAAACGTTTCAATGCATTGATTGATTTTGCCTATTACAAAGGATGTTCTTCACCATACAGCATCTGATACTGTTACCATTTTTAGATTGAAAATACTATTATTGGACAATTTATATGTATACATAAGGCATGGCTTTACTGTTGAGTAACCTTGCTTACAAACAGCAACCGCTATGACTCCACATAACACAACCATAACATTTTCACACTGTTTCTATACAGCACCTTTACCATTTATTGTCTAAAAGTAGGCTGAAGTGTGCACGAGTAATTATCTCAGAGCTTCAATTACAAACTCAAATGTTTGGATAAAGTTCAAAGGAAGGAAAAAAACTTCTAAAATTAATCCATGATTTATAGTGGGGAAGGGTATGGGGGGAAAGAGATGGACTCTGATAACACATCTGCTGGGTTTTTCAATCAGGAAACTTTCATACATTTCTGACACTATAATAAGCATCGTCTTGACTTTAATTAAGCACATACAAAAATTAATAATTTTGTCTTTGGAGAATTATCCCCAAGTGATGTCAAGTAGAAAATAAAAACCAAAGGCTTCATTTAATCCACCTACTCCAGGGTTCAATTTCACCCACAGTGTGTAACTGGAATTGCAAGCAGATTTAAAGAGACCACAAGAAAGAAGAAACTCACCATTCTAACTACTTCAGGGTAAGTCTGCTCTGTCAAACAGCCTCTGCTTATTGTAATGTAGTCGACCAGTTCATTAAGAGTGGAGCGCTTGTATTCTTTCATTTTAAGGTCTGAAAGCGTGTCCATGAAGTCAAAAATGACACAGCACTGTTGAAGTTTCTTTAGGAACAGTTCAGGCTGCTCTGAAGATGGAACGTCTATGAAACAAGAAAGGAAATCTTTGTGAGTCTGGCATCTCTTTATACGAAACAGGATTTATTTTTGAACACCAATTCCAAAGAAAAGCATCATTCAAATACTTGTCATAAAACAGAGCTCAGATTAACAAATGGACCCCTTATAGGAACTGTTACTACTTTGTGTTTGAGGTCCTGAACAATTTGTTGTAGTAGTAAGTTATTCGCTGTTAAGAAAATACAGTTCACAAAAGTACAGACATAAGTGGAAAACACAAATGCAAAAGCACTCAAGACTTAATTTTACAGTATACCACTACTTTTACTGCATTTGAGATATGCCATTGTTAACTTGCACACCAAAAAAGGATGAAAGAACTGTTAGATTGATCAAGCTTGATTAATTCCTACTTCCAAAAATACTGTCACTTATAACTTTATAAGAATAGATATGAATATACAGTAAGACTGAATTTGTGCAAACAAAATTTCAGAATTATTACTTCCACATGAACTCTTTCCATAGCAAAATCAACTATAATTCTATTAAAACAGTAAGGATACATTGCTGGATTACAAACACATAATATGCATTAATACACAAAATAGTAACAAGTACTTGCCCAGTACAGAAAGTAGAATGTACTACTTATTATTTTTCCTTTGTCAACTTCTTAGTGGCTTGGTTAGTTTACCAAGTGCATCAAAAGAATGCACAGACAGCCTAGTTTATCCAGTGTTCATGTACATGAGGCTAAGAAAAGTAGAAAAGCTGCATGAATGACATGCCTATTTTTATTCTGAAAGATGCCTTCAAACAAGAGAATGCCTCACTTCCTTTGATCTCCCTCTTTTCTTTTCTTTTCTTTTTTTTTTTTTTTTTTTTTTTGTTTTTCAGGCACAAACGATCCGTTAGGAAATGGCCTTCTAAGCAATAATCCAATATGCAAATGGAAAACTGCTAATTTCAACTAGAAAAACTTAAATAGCAGAGAATTGATGTTTATTTCTTAAAACTTGGACATATCAGTATAAAAGCTAACCTAAGATGGAAATTCTTATCCTTAATATATGACTGAGTATGTCTTGCCAAGGAATACTTGGTAAACATTGGATGCTGTTAACAGTTTTACTGCAGTTTTAAGGAGAGTAGCTTTAACAAATCTGTTCAAATTTAAACCACATGCATAACAGAACTAGAATCAGCTCAAAAGACCTATGAGTATTACAAGGTACTTCACACCAACTCCTTGTGCTGCTTAATTACTGAAAAGCATAAAGAATACTTTTGGATGGTGATACAAATAAATACGCTACACACTTTATGACCTGACATCAAATAGCACAATACATTTACTCAACCTTCTTCGTTGGTCAGCAACATCATTATGGCAGGATCCAACAACTATCAAACTGTACCCCACAGATCAACTGAGATGTTTGCGAAGTTTAATTGACAAAACCACGTTGTATGTACCAATCTCCTACTTCTAAGATCTGGGCAACCTCTGCAACAGCTGCATCCAAGGCAAATTAAGTGGGAAAAAGTGGTATAGTTTTAACACTGCACTTCATATCATCCTTTTAATTGTTCATCCCACAATCCTACAGGTGTCACTCATCTATGGAACAGAAGATGGAAGAAACGTGGCCCTGCAGAACTGCAACAGGGAGAGCAATGCAGGAAAAGAAAACCCAAATGCTTCTTGAAGTCTAGAGGTAACAAAACCAGGCCACTCTGAAGTCATTGCGCTGGCCGGGTGTCACACACATTCAAATGCCTCACAGCAGACTGTACTGAAATCTGTGTCACAGAAAGCCATCAGCCCTTGGTCGTCACAAAGGAGACCACTTCTGTTAGTGCTCTTCCTAAGGCAGGAGCCAGTCTGAAGTCTATGAGGAGACAAAGGGCCTGAGAAATCTAAGCCTTTTTGAGATCAAACATGTTACTGCTTTCTTGATTGCTCTCAAACAATACAAAAGAGGAAAACGGACTTCAGAATTCACTGTTACCAGCAATCAATCGACAATTAACTGATAAGCAATTTCTTCCTGGAGACAGTCTGTAAACACAAACTAAAAAATAAAAAAAAAAGAGAGAAATAATGCTCTTGAGAAGTAACCAATTGCATTTTATGTCCTATTCTAACTTGCACTCTTCTCTACACAAATCCAGTACATAACTTTACAACATGTAAATGGTATCAATAAAATCTATGATGTTACATAAACATAATGGGTTTTTGTTTGCATTGTCCTACATGGCTTGCCTGCATTTACTTTGGCTGACAAGTATATCCCAGTTAATGGCAAACACAGGCTGAAAACAAACCAGAATCCATTACGAATTTCAATCCAATGTCATTATAACCAGACTCCAGTGACTCAGAACTACATTAATTTTAATTCAGTGTCAGCATTAAATTAAAAAAAATACATATTGAAGTATTAAAACATCTAATAAAGGCTTACTTTTATTTTCAACAAAGTATCTGGAGGAGTGAGAAAGAAAGGAAAAATATAATTAAGTTCATCTTAAGGAAAGTTACTGTAGAATGCTACATGAATTTCATGCCAGCTTTAACTGTGTCAGCAACAAGGCAAACTGTATGGGCAAGCTTGTCAAAACAAAACAGAGAAAAACCCCAAACTTGTTCTGGTCACGTCTGCTTTTCTTTATGATACAAACTGGTAATCACAGTGCAAAGTAAAATTGCAAGAAGTATCGTGCTTTGATAACAGGTAACACCCAATGCCTATGTTTTTCTACTTGGAACCAGGAAATCTCCAAGCAGAAATGACACATAACATAATAACATCAGTATTCTATGTTCACAAGCCTCCCTCTGTGACTACAACACCAGTTGGTCTGGGTTCTTTTTGTTTTAGAAGGGTTTTTTTGGTGTTTTCCCTAATCTCCTAATGCCTCTCTGACAGATGTACAGACCTTACTGAAAGACAGCTGCCAGCCTCACATGCCCATTACCGTACTCTGGTACAGAAGCTATCCAGCCCCACAGCAGAGCTCAACGTATCGACTTAACGTAACGACTTCAGGTGCAGCTCATTACAAATGCTCACAACCAGCCCATGTAAAACAGCAAAGCTCTTTCAAACCTCTTTCTTAGTTCTCAGCAGACAGATACTGTGAGGTTCCAGTGCATTTTGCAGTGACTTACTCTTGTGCTAGCATGCAACACTAACATACTGAAATATACTAGACTTCAAGCTTACCACTGTAACCACTTTTACGTGAAGGAACAGAAAGTTGAGTAAGTTCAGTAAATTTCTTTGTAAAAATACTTTTATGTATAGAATAAAATCAAAATGGTACCAATGAGTTGTACATACAATTTAAATCCAATGCACGGGAGAACATACATTTATCAAAAAGCAAAACTTAAAGACAGATAAATTGACCTCGTTTTCAGAAAAAGCTCTTTCCTACAACTTAATTTTCATGCTGAAAAGCTTCTCAGTTTTCTTTCCAGACACTTCTACAAAGAACAGAGCTTGTGAAGTACATTGAACGTTCACAGATTCAAAGGAAACTGGCTCAAATGACAGTGACTAATAAGAAATCTGAACAATTAAAAAAATAAAATCGGAGCCTTTAACAAAATGAAGTGTTTTACAAAGTGATCTGAAAAACTGACAAAAAGAACCATACATTTTTCAGACATGAACCTTGTTACTACAACAACTCCAATACAAGATCTAAGTGACAGCGCAGTTTAGTTTCCCTCTTAATATCCTTTTTCCAAAATAATCCTAATCCAACCAGCCCATCCCTTCTCCTCAATCACCTCTGCAGTCTCTGCCTTCTGATTTCTTTACCAAATGAAGAAAGAAATGTCTGGAAGTATCCTTTGACTGCAATCTTCTAATGTACACATATGTTAAAAAAAAAGTTCATATTACATTCATATTTTAATAAAATATTATTTACAAGGAACTGATTAAAAAATCATAGAGAAGTAAGATGATGCATCTGTCTAGTAAAGCTGCATCCAAAGAACTGAGCTATGATACTGAACATACTCATCACAATGGTGGTGAAAAATGAAGGAGAGGTACTAAACACCTGGAGCATCTCCCTGTTCCACTTCAGGCTGTACTTTTGCAATGAATTATTGCTGCAAATAAAAGAAGTGAAGACAACAAGGTGGGGAATTAATAAGCAAGTACTGCAGCTGCAAGGGAAAGTCAGACCAAAGACAGATGAGGGCGTAGAATTAAACAAGATAAATGCTGCAGATTACATATAAGATGTTAAGTAAAAACACAGCACGTCCACAAATGCTACCCTGCACCCACGTATGTATTATCAGAAAATGTATTCATTTTAAAAATATACATATATACACAGAGAGTGGTGACACACTGGAACAGGCTGCCCAAGGAGGCTGTGGATGCCCCATCCCTGCAGGCATTCAAGGCCAGGCTGGATGTGGCTCTGGGCAGCCTGGTCTGCTGGTTGGCTGCCATGCACATAGCAGGGGGTTGAAACTCGATGACTGTTGTGGTCCTTTTCAACCCAGGCCATCCTATGATTCTATGATATGCAATATCAAAATGTTCTAGGTGTAACTCTCACTCCCAGTAGATTACTTTTGGTAGCACATACCTCTGGTCACTATGAAGCTTTCATTCTGTAACAAGTAAACTTTCTCTTTTTCATTCAAATAAAACTTGGAAAGCTGAATTTAGAAGACCTCCTGTCTTCTCTGAAGAGATCACTTTAAGATAAGGTCTACCAAAATCAAGCCCAAACCTCCAGCTAACCAAAGATCCTGTCATATATACACCTGGCATACATTGGCCACATTTCTATACGCTACTTTTCACCATGGAATTCTGGTCCTGCAGATGCCAAGCAGTACAAATGTTTTTTTTCTTACACACATTTCTTAAGAAAAGTAATCACTCTGCTGATTACATTCATTTAATTTTCATGGCTGGCTGTCAATATTATGAATGCTTCGTGAAGTCAGTAATAATTCATTTATAATAGGGGCCTT